TATTCCCACAGGCATTGGGGGAGTGTCTTCCTGGGTTGCTTAGATGGGTCTCATCTCTGAAGTCCCTCTCCATCTCCTACACCCCCTTCCTCTCCGATTTCCTGAAATCCTGCAGAATCCACACGGCCTGGACCCTTCCGGGAGGAGCGCAGAGACTGCGGTCTGTCGCCTTTCTCCCAGCAACCTGGACGGGTCGCACTGTCCCTCTCACCTGTGCTCCTGCACTGGGCGCACAGACCCCTCGCGCCTCCCTGGGGGTCAGGGACACACCCCAGCTTGCAGCTCACCCGCCCGACACCCCTCGCTGTGCGCCTCCACTTTCACGGTGCCTCACTGGCCTCCCTGCCACCCCCATCTGGTCTCAGGCCGCTGAGTGTCAGCAGGAGCTGGAGTAACGGCTGTGAATGGAGCCCGTGGACACCGGGGCCACATCCGCAGTGGGCTCAGGGCCCCCGCGGCACAGCCGGCACTCGGAGGCAGCAGGCGCCAGGCGCCAGACCCGCGGGCAGCGATCCGAGAGAACCAGCCAGGAGCCCGCCCGCGTGCGGTCTCGTGTGTTTACTTCATTTTTAATCTCAAGAGAAAGATGAGTTAACATCATGGAAATGAAGGTTATTTTTGAAGTGAAACAAGCCCCATCGCCCCTGAAGGAGAGAAGGGGCCGAGAGACGAGGCGGCAGGCAGGCCCGGGGTGGAGGCCGAGGTCTCCGCGCGGCAAGGGGACTGGGTGCCCGGAGGGCCGTGCGTGGTGCCCTCGCTGTTCACAAATGCTGCGTCTCGGGGCGGGTCCCCAGGGCGGGGCTGCGGCCTGACTCGGACGGACGGACGGACGGACGTCAGAGCAGAATGTGGTACTTGAGCGCCCGGGGGACCCTGTTGATCACGAGCCGCCCGTCATAACTCAGGGACGCAAAGAGCCAGGGGTCGGCTGAGGACCAGTCCACGGCGTACACGCTGTCCTCGTGCTCCTCGTATGTGGCGATGACGCCGTCCTGCGGGGGCTCCTGGCTCCTGGGGGGACCAGAGACACGTGTGAGCGGGCCACGGCCCCAGCTTCTCATCTGCGCGATGGGAGGGAGAGTGCGGGGACCGCGGGAGCGTGTGGAGCCCATGTTAGCCGGACAGCGCCTTGTCCCTGCGGCCTGGACGGTAGGCGCCAGCGTGATCAACGAGGGGCCCTGGCTCGGGGGTAACAGGGAACCGTCCCCGGGGGATGGAAACGACGCCGTCAAAATGAGGAGACGCTGCCTGTGATGCTGAGCAGAGGGACCTGGGCCGGGCCAGTGCAGCGCGGTCCTGGCCGGGCAGGCGGGCGAGCGGTGCCCATTTGGGGCCTCCTCCCTTTACGCTCTCCTTCCCGGGAAGCCTGCCTGGGTGGCACAGGGCGCCATGAGAGTGAGCCCCCGTCTCGGGGCTGACTACCCCGGCCGCAGCGGGGCTCCGTGCGGTAGGAAAGGCAGCTCCTACTTGTCCTCTGGGCGGCGCTCCTCCTGGTCGCTCAGGTCGTCGTCGTCCACCAGGTGGCCGAAGGGCTCCGAGGAGATGGACACCATGTTGGAGAGGATGACCCGGCTGTCGCTGCTGCCCGTGAGGACCAGCTGGTCGTGCGAGTGGTTATAGCGGACGTTCCACACCCTGGGGGCAGGGAGACGGCGCTCACAGGGCTGGGACCCCGGGACGGGAAGCAGGGGTCGCCCGGCACCCACCCCGAGCGGCCCGGGATGACGCTGGGCAGCGTCCCCCAGTGGGCAGGCTTAGCGTGCTTCTCTGAAACCGCCTTGTCTCGACTCCCAGCAGCAGAGACGGGCAGTGGCGGCA